GGAGGAGGAGGAGGATAAAGAGGACAGAGAAGGAGGAGGAGGAGGAGGAGGAGGAGGAGGAGGAGGAGGACAGCGAGGGAGGAGGAGGAGGAGGAGGAGGAGCAGGAGGAGGACGGATGAGGAGAGAAGCGGAGGAGGAGAACGAGGGAGGAGGAATGAGGAGGAAGAGGAGGAGGGAAGGGAGGCAGGAGGGAAAGAGTGAGGAGTGAGGAGGAGTGAGAAGGAATGAGGAAAGGGAGGAGGAGGAGGAGGAGGACGAGGAGGAGGGGGACTCCTCCTCCTCCTCTTCATTATATTCCTTTCTCTTATCAATAACTCTTCCCTGTGGCACACCGAGGCCATTCGGAAGGTCGGGCCGAGCATTTCGCATGAGACGCCCTCACTTCTCATGAGCCTGAAGCCTGAGCATAGGAAGCAGCCTCACAGATAGAGGGCGGGTCGTTTCCAAAATGTTATTTTCACATCAGCGCCGCGCATATTCGTCTCAAGCATGTGGAAGAGGTTCATGGTTTGCGGACGGGTCGCCTTCGAAATGTGGCTCTAGTCTTGGCGCAACGCACTCGAAAATTTGCAAGACCTTCACAGGTTGAGGGCGGGTGGCTTTCAACATGTGGCTCTCGCCTTAGCGCCGCGCACATTCGCTTCAAACATTTGCAATTGCTTCACGGATTGAGGGCGGGTGATGTTCAAAATGCTGCTCTCGCCGTAGCGCCGTGCATTCGTTTCAAACGGTTGCAACAAAAGTTGCACGGATTGAGGGGGGCTCCTGTTCAAAATGTGGCTCTCGCCTTAGCGCCGCGCACATTCGTTTCAACATTGGCAACAGAAGTTTCACGGGTTCTCGTGATTCGCATACCAAGTCAAATGTTTAGAACGATTCAGGATTGTCAGGGCGTAACCGTTACATGGATTCGCGGTGTTGAAGTCCCAGAAACGGCGTTCTGGCACGATTCAGGATCGGCAAGACGCACCAGTCAGGTTGACCCGTGGCGTTGAAAACCTGAAATGTTGTTTTGGCACGTTTCCAGATTGTCGCACGATTATCCCCGAACGGGGCACTTCCCTCAGTGGGAATAAATCCTTGTAGGCGCCTACGACGAGGAAGCTTGGGGAGAGAGTGGATTCCAACATCGTCGGTACTGGTCCTCGCTCCTCCTCCTCCTCCTCCTCCTCATCATCATCATCATCAGCATCATCATCATCATCTTCATCACTCCTCCTCCTCCTCCTCCTCCTCCTCCTCCTCCTCCTCCTCATCAGCATCATCATCATCATCATCATCATCATCATCATCATCATCATCATCATCATCATCATCATCCTCCTCCATTGACTCCTCCTCCCCGTCCTCCTCCTCCTCACTCCACCTCACTCCTCCTCACTCCTCCCAATTGCCTTCCTTCCTTACTTCCCTCCCTCCTTCCTTCCCTCCCTCCTCAACTCTATTCCTCCTCCTCCTCCTTCTCCTCCTCCTCCCCCTCCTCCTCCAATTACTCCAAGTATTCCAACTACTCCAACTACTATTCGTACGTCCTCCTCCTCCTCCTCCTACTCACTGGCTCACTCACCCACTCACGCACTCACTTGCTCACTCACGCACTCACTCAATCACTCATTGGCTCACTCACTCACTCACTCACTCGCTCGCTCGCTCACTCACTCACTCACTCACTCACTCACTCACTCACTCACTCACTCACTCACTCACTCACTCACTCACTCACTCACTCACTCACTCCTCAACCTCACTAGCATTATCCTTATCCTGCTCCTTCTACTCTTCCTCCTCGTCCTCCTCCTCCTCCTCCTCCTCCTCCTCCCTCTCCTCCTCCTACTCCTTCTGTCCTCCTCCTTCTGACCTCCTCCGCGCTGCACGCCCTTGATGCTTGCTCCTCGCTCCCTCGCGCCTCGCTCCTCCTCCCCTCCTACCGCTCCTCCTCCTCCCTCCTTCTCCGCCTCTCTTCCTCCTCCTCCTCCTCCTCCTCCGCCTTCCTCCTCCTCTCCTCGCCCTCCTCCTCCTCCTCCTTCCTCCTCCTCCTCCTCCTCCTCATCCTCCTCCTCTCCTCCTCCTCCTCATCCCTCATCACTCCTCTCCTCCTCCTCCTCCTCCCTCCTCCTCCTCCTCCTCAAACTCTCCTCGTCCCCCTCCCCCCCAACCCCCCTCCCTCTGCTCCGCTCCTCCTCCTCCTCCTCCTCCTTCTACTCCCGTCCTCTTCCTCCTCCTCCTCCTCCTACTCTTTCCTCCCCCTCCTCCTCCTCATCTCGCGTCACACGCTCCTCGCTACTTGCTCTCGCTCCTCGCGCCTCGCTCCTCCTCCTCCTCCTCCTCCTCCTCCTCCCTCCTCCTCCCCTCCTCCCCTCCTCTCCTCCTCCTCCTCCTCTTCCTCTTCCTCTCCCTCCTCCTCATCCTCCTCCTTCTTCTCGCTCCATGCTCCTACAGCTGCTTGCTCTCGCTCCTCGCTCCTCGCGCCTCGCTCCTACGCTCCTCCCCCCCCTCCTGCTCCTCCTCTCCTCCTCCTCCTCCTCCTCCTCCTCCTCCTCCTCCTCCTCCTCCTCCTCCTCCAATTCTTCCTCCTCCCTCCTCCTCAATACTCCTTCCTCCCCTACCTCCACCTCCTCACTCCTCGCTCCACGCTCCTCGATGCTTGCTCCCACGCTCCTCGATTCTAGCATCCTCGCTCCTGCGCTCACTCCGCCTCGCTCTCGCTGCCTCCTCCGCCTCCTCCTCCTCCTCCTCCTCCCCTCCTCCTCCTCCTCCTCCTCCTCCTCCTGTACTGCTCCCTGCCGCACACCGAAGTCAGCCGGCGGCGGGCCGGGCGTTCCGCCTGAGACTTCCTCACGAGTTGATCCTGAAGCTGTAAAATTGGCAACAGCTCCATAGACGGAGGGCGGGTCGTTTCCACAATGTGGCTCCCGCCTTAGCGCCGTGCACACTCCTTTGACCAAACGCAAGCGTGTCACGAATTGAGGGCGGGTCGTTTTCGAAATGTGGCTCACGTCCTTGCAACGCGCACAATCGTTTTAGAACTTTGGAAGAGCTTCACGGATTGAGGGCGGACTTTTTGTGTGGTTCTCGCCTCAGCGCCGCGTACACCCGTTTCAAACAACTCGAGAGGTTTACGGATTGAGGGCGGCTCCTGTCAAAAGTGTGGTTATCGCCTCAGCGCCGCGCACGGTCGGTTCAAACATTGGCAACATAAGCGTCACGGATTCCCATATTAAAACAGATCAGAAAGGTATGTGTTGAACGAGTGCGTTGCTTCGCGGTGTTGACGTCCCAAGAAAGGCGTTCTGGCACGATTCAGGACCCTCAAGACGCAATAATCAAGTTGATTCGTGGCGTTGAAAATCCGAGAAGGCTGCTTCGGTACGCTTGAGGATCTTCCAACGATTGTCTCCCAACGGGTCACTCACCTAAGTGGAAGTTAGTCCGTGAAGGGGCTTGCGAAGAGGGAGCTCGAAGGGAGGGTTTGTTCCAACACCGTTGATGAGTCTTGGGTTTACACCGGTCCTCATTATCCTCCCCCTCCTCCTCCTCTTCCCGATTCCTAATTCCTGATGGCGTTAGAAGTCTCCGACTGCCGCCCCCGCACCCCCAGGGACGGTCGTCCCTGGGGGGAAGCAAACTGAAGCCTGTTGCTTGGAAAACCGCTCCAAAGGCCACCGGCTGCAACGTGCTTTAACGTGTAAGGGCAAGCGTGAAGAAGGAAAAGAAAAACAGACAGACAGGAGGGGAGGAGAAGGGAAAAGACGAAGAAACAAGACCCTTCGCCTCCTTCCTCCCACTCCCCCCCCTCCTCCTCCACCTCCTCCTCCTCCTCTCCACCTCCTCCTCCTCCTCCCTCTCCTCCTCCCCCTCCTTCCTCTCCCCTAACCTCCTCCTCTCCTCCTCCTCCTCCCCTCCACCTCCGCCTCCTCCACCTCCTCCTCCATCCTCCTCCTCCTCCTCCGCCTCCTCCTCCTCCTCCTCCTCCATCCTCCCCCTCCCTCACCCCTTCCCCTCCTCCTCCTCCTCCTCCTCCTCCTCCTCCTCCTCCTCCTCCTCCTCCTCCTCCTCTGCGAAGACCTGCTTGGAATGAAAAGATGTTTCTTTCCTGCTTCTCGAGCCGAGCTTGACCCAAGGCCTACGGATCGAGTCTGCTGCATGCTGAAACCACAACTGCGTGCTACAAGCAACAACTGCGGCTGCTTTTCACACAACCTCTTCTATGTCGATACGTAGGGCCATTTGCTTTATAACCCGGGCGATCGTCAATATGGAATCTAAATCATGCATCTGGGCGTCCTGCGGCCAGGCTGGCCTGCGCGGTTCAGGCACGCGTCCCGTTCAGGGAAAAACCTTACTAGGGCAGCATTCACATCAGGACGCCTCTCACTCACCCGGGGTCACCCCCGCCACGATTCTCGGCCTTGGTCTCATACTTGCACCGGTAGACGTATTCCCCCGCCTTGAGGACATGCTCCAAATAGCTCTGATCCTTCATGTGCTTGGTCAGGGGGTCGGCAAGCATCAGGCGGGTCTGTCCATATCAAGCCGTCTCCGACTCCCAAACGATCTCGAAGATCAGCGAGGTCCAACGCGATCCTCCTCTCCGTCGGCATGCTCCCTTCCTTACGGCAGAGGTCGACGAAGCTCTTGCAGTCCGTCACGCACAGGCTGGGGATCTTGCCCATCAATGTCGTCCAGTCGCTCTCTGATTCCCAGCCGTACAATATCTCGGCCAACGCCGTCCTCACGAAGCACGCCCTGTCAAACCCGTAGCTCGCACTGGCCGCCTCCGCTGCCAATGTAGATCTTACCACACGATGGATCTTGCTCGAGCACCAGTCCACCACGTTGACTTCTTGGCTTCGAACTTCTCGTCGGTTAGCAGGAGGATGAATCCTTGTTGCGATCCACTCCTCGGCTGTCTGTCGTACGAGGCATCGTGTACACACATACATCCAAATCGTCCCGATCCATCTCCGCGATGAAATCGTAGCTAGACGTCACGCGTCACCATCTCCTTGGCCATGCTCAACACCGTGTTCGCCTTGCACAGCTGGCCGACCGTCAAGTCTGGCGCCCGCTGTTGCAGGTCACTGACGTCATAGGCTAAACCAGGTAGTGTCGTCCGCGCGGGCCACGATAATTGTTGTCCCAGGCTGCGGTACTTCGAGAGCTCTTCTTCGGTCGCCTTGCTCTCGGGGTCCTTCCTCCTGGATGCCGGCACGAAGATCTTCTCCATCTTCTCGATGTACTCGTGCTGGTCGACCTCTATGGACTTATCCGGCAGCTGATTGATGCGCCGGCCGAGGAACTCGAACTGACCCTGCTTCTCCTTGGTCACGTTGAGCTTCTCGCGTACGATCTCCTTCGCTCTGGCGAACCGCTCGCCTGTACCGCCCCAGAGTCCGCCGTCCACGTGAACACATAGGACCGCCTCGATCTTGCCGTTGTCGTTCCGAATGACAAACACTCCTTTCATGGTCTTGAGCGGCTGGAATCCGGCCTGGATCAACACCTCCGAGAATCTTTCCCACCATAAGCGAGGTGACTCTCGTAGTCCGAATACACCCTTGAGCAGTTCCACCAAGCTCCCAGCAGGAACTCCAGGTAGCCCTTCTCGGGGAGGCATCACATATAACCGTCTCGTGTTTGTCTTGCCGGTTAGGAACGCCGAGCCGATATCGAACGCCCCGAGATCCCAGCCAAAATGCGCCGCCAAGTTCAGCAGTAGCATCAGCCCTACCATGGGCGCCACTGGTGCATCTGTCCGTGTACCTGCCGTTTCTGACGAAATCGCCATGCGCTTCGCATGCTTGATGCCGAGCTTGCCCTGGTTGTCCGGGTCGAGATGTCCCGGGATCACAAGTCGGCTGTTCGGCTGGCCCTCCTTGAGGGTATGCACGAAGCGCGCCGGCACCTTGAAGATCCTCGACTAGTCGACCTTCGCCGCCTCGTCGGGCAGGACCACCCTGACGGCCTCGTGCTCCAGGTGCTGGTTCCAGTTCTTGGCGATGCTCTTGTTGAACCCAAGCCACTCCGCCTTCGTGAACTTCCTCGAGTCCAGCTCCTTCCCCTTGGTGCCTGCCTGAAAGGGACGGAGCTCCAGCGAGAACACGTCGTTCATCACGTACAGCGTCTCCGTGTCCAGGTCCGGGACTGGGGTCTCGACGGCTTGGTTGAACACCGCCTCCACCACAGGTGCCTGAGGCACAACCTCTTCTATCTGCGATAGTGGTGTAGGTGGTGGCGCGGGCGCTCCAACACTCCCTGCTGGTGATGGCTGAGCTTCGGGCTTAGGTGTCTGTCGTGGTTCTTCCACTCGTTCGGAGACAACTCCCGGCACTGGCACTTCAACAGGATTCGGAGGTATCGTCGTACTCTCCATCGAGCTCGGTCTCAAGTCTTCGAACGTATGCTGACCCCTCGAGATCCCGCTCAGGTCCATGTTGTAGTTCTCAAGGATGCTGCCGATGGCCTCGCTCGCCAAGCGCTCCTCTGGGGTTGCCGACCTGATGTGTTGTGGTGCCACCAGCAGGAGGTTCCCGTTGAACACCAGCCAATACGCTTCGTTCTGGCCTTCGCGTCCCCACTCCCTGCCGAGGATGACAAATGGACCGTGCCAACGGTCTGCTCGTCTTGTAGATCGTGCCTGCGGCTTGAAGGCACCTGCCGCTCGCCAGAAGAACACGCACTCTCCGGGCATCCACGGCGAAGGTGTGGGTCGATAGTTGTGGACGATGGCCTTCCTCCACTTGTCACTGTTGTCCAGCTTCGCCAGCGCGACCTGAGCCGCCTCGCGTATCTTCTGCGACCGCTGGACCTGGTAGTCCTTGAGCACCGCGTCGTGCACGGCGATCTCTGGGTACTGTTCGTCGCTGAGGAGGCTGTCCAGCACGCTGCCTGGTAACCGGTCTCCACAACCGAAAACTCTCATCCTGGGGCTGTATCCTGATGGATCCACTCTTCGGTTCTTGCAGATGTTCGCCGCCGCTATGGCTAACTCCATCTCGGCCGGGCCCTGGATGGTGCACTCGTCCACAATCGCGCGCGCGATGTCGCTGCCGACGGCCCCGTGGCGCTCGACCAGCCCGTGTTGCCACGGACTTTCCGTGGGCACCACTCTCATCGTGATTCCCACCGACTCCGCGTAGGATGCAAAATCCCCCCTGAACTCCGAGCCGTTGTCGGAGTGACACACAATAGGTACTCCGGCCCAGGCGCACCACTTCGTCATGAACATCCTGGCTGCCTCTGCACTGGAGGGATTCTCCAGCATGATCAGGCACGAGAACTTCGTCGCGAAATCCACGCAATTCAGGGCCAGGTACTTGCCTCCACTCGCGTCCTTCAGCTCCTTGGTGTCCACCCCGACCGCGATCCCAAATGACGTGGGTCTCTGTCGGCTCGACACCACTCGACGTCCCTCTGGAGCTGCTCGTCTCGCGCACACCTCGCACTGCCATACCTTCGCGTAGTCCAGGTGCAGCTGGGAGGCCACGCCTAACCTCATCACTCGTAGTAGCGCTTCACGGCCGCAATGACCCAGATTCCTGTGTGCTCGTCGTACTTCCGCGCGAACTTCAGGCGGAACATGGGCCACTTCTTGTTGGCTTCTCGTCGTAGTGAATATCTCGCCCGCTGGGAGATCCTCTGGATACAGCGGGTCCCTGGTGATGTCCGCCTCCTCTGGCACGTCCCCCTCCTGTTCCACCTCGTCCTCCGGGTTCTCGTCCTCTTCCGCTGTCGTCGGAGGTACTTGCTGCTCTTGAGGCTCTGGTGGTTGTTGTCCTTCAGGATCTTCTGGGGGTACTTCCGGTAGAACTTCAGGTAGAACTTCAGGTAGAACTTCAAGTAAAACTTCAGGTGGGGCTTCAAGTGGGGCTCCTCGGAGTCCGGGCGGAACCTTCTTCAGCATCGTCACCACCTTCCGCAGTTCTCCTCGCGTGCCCGAGGTTTCTGGTCCATCTTGGTCCACCTGTTTATCAAACTCTTCGCAATACCACTCCTTCCCGCCACGGTCACTTGTCCTCTTGACCGCGTAGACTGATCTCACGGTGTGCTCGGGGTAGTTCTTCGACCATAGTTGAACCCGACCTTGTCCCACGTGTATCACAAGGTCGCCACTGCCATGCCAGCCGGGCGTCAACTTCGTCAAATACCTCGTCTGGTCCAATGAAACTGTACGTCGTACTTGGCTAGCGCCGCCATGTGAAAACGTCGGCGCTCGCACCTTCTTGATGATGCCCTTCTTGTCGTTACCCAAACGTGAACGTGTGGGTGTGGTGATAGGTGGAGTAATCGTAATCGGAGGAGTCGTAGACACAACCCTCACTCTCTTCTCTTTTTGTTGGGGGTGTGGGGCTGGCATTCTCCGCTTTGATATCGTCGGTGTGGTAATGCGTCGTCGTTTTGCCTCGTTCGCAAGGGCGTCGCGTGTATTCCTTATGTCCAACGCCTCCATGAACACGCTGATGACGGCCTCGGCAAACTCTTTCGTGTAGCCGCCGGCGTACGTGCTCGTCCTCATGTTTTGCTTAGCCAATCGCCCTTCGATCTTAGCGTGTTGTCGGTGTTCTGGGCACAGTCGTTCGAGCTTGTCCGCCATTGTCTGCGTGGACATGATGATTCGCGACGGCTTCTTAATAGGTAAATCCGAGTCTGGATGTCGGAGCCCGAACGCGCACATGTCCACCACCGTCGTGCCGTGCGACTTCAGCAGCTCCACTATTGGCTCCTCCTGGAAAGCCTTGCTTGTGAGCGGGTTTTCGCCGTAGAAGTAGGCTCCGCGCTTGCGTTGGTAGTCAGCCACCCTCTTCACGAACCTCAACGCTCCGCGGGACTGCTGTTGTCGCACCTGTAACTCCTTCTGGAACGCCGGGCGGTGTGCCTGGTAGTTGTGCATCACCGTCCAGGGGTCACAGGGCCAAGCCATGGCCACCACGTCCGGCCTGTTGTCGACGACCTCCCTCCAGGCTCGTGCCCGCCCAGAACGTGTGTAGAGGTCGAAGCCCGTCCCGATGCTAATTGGCGGCATGACCTGCCACCCTTGCGCCGCCGCCTCGCACGATAGAGCAAGCGTCCACGAGAATATCTCTAGGAACTTCCACCTCTTGGATCTCGACGTCACCGTCGGTGGGTCCTTGTGGACGGATCTCTTCGCCTCTGCAGCCAACGCATCCGCAACTCCTCTCGTGGTCCTCTGCAACCGCTTCTTCCTACCTCGCTGTAGGACTCCAACACGCGAGAGGTCCTTGAACCCGAGTTCGCCGGCCTCCTCCTGTGGGGTCATGTCCATCTTGCCATTGATATGGAAACACTCCGGGAACTCGTTCGGGTTGCCATACTCTCCGATGTCTACGAGGAAATGTCCCGACCGTGATTGTTTGATCGGCTTCTTGAACACTCCGGCCTCCTCGATGTCCATCACCTTCTTGCGGTAATTGACGATCACGCCTAGATCCTGCATCGCCTGCTGCGA